GGGGGATTAGGGGAAGGAGCTAGGAAGGAGAGCTGCATTTTCGTATTCTTTGTTCACGTCACACTGATAAATACGTGACACGTATTTGCTAATAGACTATTATCGCCTGATCAATATATATCGTCACCTTATTAAATCACCTAACAATTAAGTTGATATGATTTGGTGTACATGCACAGATAATTTTACTTACATCCAATATTTATATTAAATTAAATAATTTAACCCGATTACTAAAAATTTAAAAGTTAAAAAGAAAATATGCAATCACTCAACTATAATTAAGTGAATAAATAAATGTTTTATGTGATATAACATGAACACAGAATAAATTTTTATAATTAATCATTGTGCTTTGCAAAGTGACTTTGTCCTTTATCTACAGTAATATAGCATCTTTTCACTTTCAGAGTAGTGGGAGTGTTCCTCCAGCAACAAACTCAGGACTTTTACAGCTTCCACATGAATCGGCTACCGCGCCTATTGATATTACTCTTGATAGCTCTGCGGTAATTTCGACTTCTGAATTTATTGAACGTGATTACCTATTTATCTACTCTTTTTATTAATTTTATTTAACATCTATTACTATGATATCTTTTTAATTGCGTGAACTAAATTGTGTAACAAATACACTGATCAATGTGCCTTTTATCAGGATCCCTGTTTCTTCATTAAACTTTCTACCAATTTTTCAACGTGCAATTTAAGAAAGAATTAAAGACTTTTGAAATTTGTGATTTTAAATATATCATAACATTTTCATGGCTATAAAATTTTTGAAACGTATAGTTTTAAATATGTCTTAGTACTATTTGTGTGGTTTTAAAAACTTGTCATTATGAATGAAATAATAAGATTAAATTAAACTGTTTTCAAATTTAAAAATATATTATTTTTTTATTTTGGTACGGAGAGAATAGTTTTTCAACTTTACAAACTATTCTAACTGTCCTATGAGGCTCATTGTGCCATTTGTCAAATCAGAAACTCCTTCAGATTGAGGCAAAGCTTTGTTTGGTTCTTTTGTGGAACTGTCTTCACCCCCCCCTATGCTGGCCCCTAATGGTAAATGGATTTCAAAAATTGCTTTTGAATCTCCTTATATAAATTCCTGAATCTTTGGAGTCAGAATTTTAACCTTATGCATTTTAGATTTTAAAAGGAGCACTTCAAGTGTTATTATTTGTACGAATATTTTAATACAAATATATTGTTTGAGCAAAAGTTACTAGGTTCACCTGAAAAGATAGCGAGGCTACTAGCTCCGCCTTGGCCATAAATTGCATTACATCATGTCTCTTGTGCCTGAGTCCCTTGGTTTTTTTTTTTTTACTCCAATTGAAATCAAGTTGACCTTGGTACAGTTCAAGTGGAAAAATATTACCCCTCCATTTCCCCAGCTGCTGATGTTTGTTTGAGGTATCAATGTCATGAGTATTCCTTGATTTGTTTTCTTGATGCACAGGAATTGGGACGAAGAGAAGAGGCTACTGCAAGAGGTGTTTGCTCTTTCTCCTGTGTTAATCCAATTATCTCTTGTAACATTTTTATACCTCTTCATTCAATATGAGGATTATTTCAATCAGTGATTTTGTAGACATTTAAACTATGAACTTAAAAAGGGAAAAAAACATCAAATTTCAGTTTGAGATGAAGAAAATAGAGCTTATTGACTTTTCTTTAAATTCTGATTTTCCTGATGTATTTTTTGTCATTGTCTTTTTTTTTCCTACCATATCGATTGTGTGCGTCCAAAATTAGTTACGGTGGTGTAGCCATAAGTACTGCGAATCTTATGTTTTTTCTAATAAGTATTTGCAAGTTTAAAGGTACAGATGTTTTGATGTAGTAGTACTATGTTACAAGTCTCTCTATTCTCTCTGATTTTGCAGTTGGCATTGTTATTGAGGAGAAAAATTGGCCTCCATTCTTCCCAATTATACATCATGACATTGCAAATGAAATACGAATTCATTTGCAAAAGCTGCAATATGCTGCATTTACTGCCTTTTTGGGTATGTTAGCCTTCTTCATTTGATATCTTTATTTATGTTATGGAATTTTTAAAACTTATGTTATGGAATTTTTAAAACTTATAACTGTTGCACAACAATATAAAAGGAAAAATCAACAATCTGCAGGTTTGTTTTCCTTTTCTCAAGAAAAGTAGCTTGGGATCGCTTAAAGCTGCAAAAGTCTTGTTTTTTTAATTAAATACATTTTTGAAGCGTATTTTATAAATGTCATTTTCGTATAACTTATGCTGTTGACAGGACTTTTTGTGTGCCTTTTATGGAACACCATAGCTCTCACTATAGCATGGATTAGAGAAGGAGGTTTGTCTAATTCAGTGTGTTCCTCATTTCTGTTAGTCCCGCCAGTATTGCTGTATTTGTAAATAATAATTCTGCAAAATATAAGTTATCGTAATGAAATAGTAATTAATTCAAGCCCACTGAATTCACAGTGTTTCCTTAAGGAATTTAATCCCCTCCTAGTACCCAAGGTAATGGATTATTTCCTCCCAGGATAGAACGAATCACACACTGGTGTAGCGGTACTTCAAACCCCAGTGTTTCAGCGAACACAAAGTTCGGTAGCAAATCACACTTATAGTTGCTTTGTTTGAAGTTAAAACAATGCAGAACAAAGGAGTAGAAACTCAGAAAATCGTATGGAAATGCTGAGAGGAAGGAGTGCAATGTATAGCCAAAGTTGAGCGTTTTC